CTGTTAAGAGACACATCAGTAATACTTTGCTCTGCCACAGCCTCTGATCTAAACTTTCTTCACCCCAGTTTTCTATCAGCCCGACTCCAGAACAGAGGTCAATGCAGAGAAGTTCCAGATTCACGTTTTTGAAGCATTTTGAAATAAGGCAGAATAAAGTATTACCGAAGTACATTTACTTTCTTAAACAACACAAATGATCATCCTTTTATTCCTGTGCATTTGTTGAAGATAACCAATTTTAAGTGAGAGAAAACATTTTAATGGAAAAATTCATGCATCTCATTGTTATGAAACAATTGATGCCCATCTGGAAAGTATGAAATGAACAACACTGGTTTCATATGTTCCACTGGGGATGCAGGATAGAAATGAGTAACTGGCAAACAGAAATTTCTAATAATGTATCTTAGAATATGCCTTAGGATTTCTGAGGCACAATAGAAACTAGTAAGCTTTCTCAAAAATTTTACTTTTCTTTTACTAAAATAGAAGTGTCTTGTGTTAATAACTTCAATCTTACACGTGTAATAGGCCTAACATGATGCATGTATTATCTACATAATTCAAAATACTGATGTTATTATTGGAAATAAGTTTACTCTATGTATGAAATATAACATGAGCCAAATCACAAATTTAAATTTCATTTTAGAATATTAGGATTAAAATATTAGAACATGAGTAGCCTTCAATGAACTCCTAGTGAATATGGATTCATAAAAAAGACATAACAAAGAAGTTTATGCACTTTATTAAAAGAACAAAAAATAAACAAAGAAGTAGCATACTAAAATGAGTTGCAAAATGTGCACTTTTAAACATAAACAAGCACTACAGCACTATAACTTGAAAAAAAAATCAAAGCATCTGCAGCTGAAGGAATGAGCTATTGCATTTGGGAGGAAAAATACTACGGGAAGAATTTGTACTCATGAAATATTCTGGTCATTATTTAAATCTATAATGTTGCACAGGGCTAATAATTTTCTTATATGTATTTTTAATTGCCATTTTCCACCCAAATTATGTGCTTCCATTTTTCACATTATTCCAAATTGTTGTTATATGAAGGCATAAAGTTAGCCCTGTAAAAAAGAATATATTTAGGAAAATCCTTTAAAAATTTTTAAATTTAAATCATTGTAATTTGGGAGCATGGGAACAAATGGCTCATTTTATGTTAAAGCAGCAACAATAATATTAAAAAGAAATTCAATTTGAAAAGGGCATTCATTCTCATAATCCAGTGATATGATGGTCATATCATTCTCTCAACTGCTAGATACAAAAGACATAGCAACAAAATAATTTGTTTCCATCACTAACATATAGCATCTCTACACAGAAATAAAGCTCTGGAACCATGCAGTTTTATGACAGATAAATCTTTAGCTTGTATGCTTTGGGAGAAAAAAAGCACTGCTTAATAGTTATGTTACTTTTAGGTCTTGTTACAGAGGTATTTTTTTAAAAAACTAATATGATGTAGATGCCTAGCGAGGATTTTGCAATACCTGCAAAGAGCTGTGACTTATTTCATAGTGATTCAGTTTTTCTTTACATATATAATAATTGTGGATGGATTCTATTTAAAGATAAAATTTCTCTTCAATAATCCAGCTTTTGAGTATTAGTGATTCTCTTACAGGCAAGAACAAGCGAAAGGGCTGGAAACAGCACAAATTAGTCAAACTAAATACTTTCTTGAGCTTAGTAATAGAGGATTTTTTTTTTTTGGCCTCAGTTACATGCATTTATTATAATTAATTCCATAATTTTTCTTATTTATTGAAACACAGCCTCTATGATGAAACCCCAGAGTATGACCTGGTGGCTGTCAACATGCACACCATGCCATCTACTCTATCTTTTGTGATGCTTCTATGGTTATTCCTACTAATTTATAGGTGATTTTTCCTGACTTAAAATGCCATATCTCTATTGACCTTAGAAAAATATATTATTGAATCTGGAAGATTCACAGAGAAATGTCCATATCAGTACACAGGTTAAATTGGGAAATTATGTTGGAGATAAGACTGAAGTTGGAGTTCCTAACTACAGAATGAAGGAATGCTTACATTTTATATCAATGGAAATGCTGGTCAGATTGTCAGGCTGTTTGTTGTATGACTAACTCTAAGTGATTATGGGCTGAGGGAGAGAAAATTCTAGCCAACTGGCCCTGAGGTATTGGACAACTGTAAGGCTTGGATTGCTTTCTGGCTTTGGTTTATTTTTCTTTCTCTGTAAGTAAGAACTATCAAAACGAGTAGCATAGCAACTCTACCAACCCCAGGATGGGCTCCTTCTCTAGGTACTCAAAGTACCTGTGGGGATTAGATGCTTACCCTTTCTAACTTTGACCTATTCTAGGTCTCATTGCCTGGGGGCAAAAAGAAAGTTAAATGGCTATCTATAGGTGTTGTGGGAGCTAAAATGGGCATAGATGGTCAGACTGAAACACTCTCTTCCAGCTCCTGTGTTACATAAGATTTTGGCTGGTTCTCTTCTGTTTAGTTAAAACAAAACAGTGGGAGGCTGAAGTGGCACAGTGAAATACTTTGTAATCTGTTAAAGGTAGGTCAGAAAACAGCTTCCACTGAACAGGTACAATGTAAATAAAGCCAGTTATAAAGTTGTGCCAGGGGCATTTTTTTTTTCCTTTGTTGAAGGGAATGAACTGCCCTATGCTGGCCATCCTTAACCCTTAAATATAATCTTTCAATGGTTGCCAATTTGGTTTTGGTAACTGGATCTTAAAGGAGGAACAGTGGTCAGTATTAACAATTTGATTGTCTCTTAAATATCTATTAATTGATAAACATTTTAACTGACACATATATCAGCTGATCACTGTCTTTGAAAGATGAAATCGGATTCTATCATAACGGGACTAACTATCTTGTAACAAATGAGGTATTTCACTGCTTGCAACCACTGAAAAAGGAAAATTTGTTCTAGAAACCTGCCTGGGGTGTGTGTGTGTGTGTGTGTTTTATAGTGGTGATTAATTTAAAAAGCAAACAATCTTTGCTAATGATCTTGTTAAATGATAAAGCTATTCTACTCCTGTTCAGTGCTGTTAGCTGAGGTTGACCTGTTACTTGTTACTAGCCTTCTCTTTTGGTGACCTGTAGCAAACTAGAAAGCCTCCATAACAGCAAAGCAACTTTATGCTTTAGTTAAGTCTTAGAGCAAAAACACCCTCCTTTTCAAAGCCTTAGAAATAACTCTCTCTTACTAACTTTTCCACTATTATCACAGACTTCTTACATTTAAAAAAAGCTCCATGGATTGCTTTCATGGACTATGTACATAAGTGCAAAAAAGGTGTGTCTCACACATCCGCACCCTAACTGAGACAGTCAATTAACTGCAGCATATGTTTCTTAAACACTGTTAAGGGGTCATTCCACAGTATCTTTATGTATACTTTAAAAAATATGAATTAATTTCAAAAGAGGCTTTAGTCATGCTTGAATCCTCATGTACATATATTTGTGTATGTAATTCCAGAAAACAGAATTTTTGCAGCTTCAGCTATACCACTTGAATAAAGTAATTTTGAATAAAGTTATAAAAAAAAGTCAGGTAATGTATTAAAAATGCAATGATTGTGTTTTGAAGTCTCAATACTGTGGAATAACCCAATCCACACAACAAATTCTATAAACTATCAAGCCTGATTCTAGAATCCATGTGTTATAAACTTTTTCACAAAAAGTCACACAAGGACACAAATTCAGCTTTTATATATGGGCCTTTGGGATTAAAAAAAGGACTCAACCATGTCTGTTTTCAGTTTTGAGCTGTATGTTCTCCATGCTCATAGTGTCACAAACTACCTATAGTTTACAAGTAAAATGTTCAGACACACAAATGTCTAAAGGTAGCCATGTTGTAGTTTTGTCGCCAAAGCAACAACTAAATATAATTAGTTATCAATGATTATTTGTATATAAAGTTACATTTGTTCTTAAATTGTGAACTGTGAAGGAAAATTTTGGACTATAATCTGTATCTTGTCATACTTCAGTGTCAGTTCAGAACCTAGCTAGGTGAGCTGAATCCATGCAGTAAAAGCTTAAACTTTCTTTAACTTTCCTTCAAAATTAAATTCATTAGTTACTTAGAGCTACAGAAAAGCAATAAAATAAAACCTTAAAAATGAACAATAAGAAAAATAAAAACATGGTACCAATTAGTGAGTTATATTTACAGTTTGATTAGGCTAGCAAATAAATTTACAAAGAAGTTGTTATACTCTTGGACATGCTGTTTATTCTAGTGCCTTCTATAGGCACTGGTTAAACAAGTCTACTGTCTATCCATCGGAATTGGGAAATCAGATTTCCCTAATAAATTTTACCTATTTCTATTTCAATTTGTGTGAAATGTATTTGAGAGAAAAAGAATGAGGATTTCCGTTTCTAATTATTATGTACTTCATAGCCTACCCTACAGACTAAAGGAACTCCGAAAACTTGTGGCTGCATTTTACCTAAGAGAATCCTCATGTATACTCTTCAAAGGGGGACAGAGAACCAAATAACATTTCAAGTAGCACAAGGACTTTCTCTCTTATTTAATAAAATGTAATAAGTATCATTCATTATTCAGACATCACTATGCTTATTGGTAATGCTACTTAAAACAGATTCAATTTGCAAAGATCAATTTCATTCTGTTTCTGCTGATGGTAGGGAGGAGGTACTTGCTTTTTCCTAAATTGGAGAGCAGGTGATTTGAGGCCCTCCTATTAGTGAACACCGCCTAGTGGTAAAGGACAACACTTATGGCAAGATCAAAGTGCTTCAGCATGTTCAAAAATGGATGGAGAAAATTGATGGAGTCGAGAGAAGATGACTTTCCACATCATGATTAACTACAAATCAAAGGCTCTGATCTAGAAAAGTGAAATGAAATGCCACAGCTGGTTCTGGAATCATGCTCCAGTTGCAAAAGTAAATGCTGTATTTAAATAGCAATTTTATGAATCCATTTATTTTAATCTTAATCCCTCTTTAAAATACATGTATGTTATGGTCACGTAGTACTTTTTTAAAAAGTTGACACTACTAAAATCCTCTTAAAGATAACTTTTAGATTATTTTCTCTGTATACATGACCCTTTTTATCCAAGTTTCAGCACTCTTGCATATTTTTGCAAAAGGCTGAGAAAAATGGATGAAAGCAATAATTTTGGATAAATAAAAAGAAGCCCCTGTAAAATATAAAGCTTATAAAATGTTAACTAAGAATCATAAGTGATTAGAATTTTATATATACAATTCATTCAGTAAATTTTTGTTTAGAGTCACTGATTCGCTTTGTGACTTGTCTTTTTAAATGGAAATTTATAGTCTAGTGACTTATCTTTCTTCTTTTCTTTTCTTGAATAAAGACAATTTGAATAAGTCATTGCACATCTAATTTAAAGAGTGCCATTTTAAATTGTATGTTTTTCTCTCAAAACTCTTCAATTTGATCAAAACTTTAGGGCTTTGAGCTTTCTTTCTTTCTTTACACTCAGTTACAAAGTAACTTTTAAAATGCCAACAATGTAGAAAATTGTGGCACCAAAAATACGATCACCCTAAATATCTCTCACTGAACTTTTTACTAAAAAGTAAGTCATTGTTAATGTCTTCCAGTGGTTAATGCAACATGAAAACAGCTATACTCTAGGTTATCTATGGCCTATGTACATCTTTGCCCAAAGTTGAAAAAGTTAAGTGAGATAGTACGTTGCATGCAGATGTCAAACTATACAAAAGTTCATTTTGCACAAAAAAGTTCTTGTCTCTTTTAAGAAATATATGCATACTAGCTCAGGTGCATCCCTCCTGGATTCATGTAATCAGATCTACTCTTGTGGAGAGGCACTGGCACAGATCATACAAAACTCAGTTCCATACGTGAGCAATTTCAAAAAGGCATATGCTACTTTCTTCTATAGCAAATGTTAAGATTTCAGAAACAGAAATTAACTGGTTCAGAGAGTCCATAGGTAAAAGTCAGGACAACTCTTGATCTCTAATCCCACCAACACTGTCAACAGCTGACAATGGATCAATACAAGCAAGGCTGTTTAGAAAGCACTGTTGATCAAGATTTGGATGGATAATTACGATCAACAGAATATCAATTCCCAGAAAGCTAATTTTGCTCTCTTGTATTCTGAGCCAAATGGGTCTGCCTTGGGAGAGAGCCTCAAATGTTCTGAAGCACAAAAAACCTGGAAAGAAGGAACAATTGGAGGCAGGAGATATTTCTGGGTCCCACAATGGCTAGGTAGCCTTGGGCAAGTCATATGCCCCTGACCTCGGTTCCATCAACTATGAAAATTATTTTGCTAACTCCATTGTTCTGTGATTCAAACACTTCTAGCCAGGTTAAGGCATCCTCAATCAGATTTACTTTTTACTTGTCATGGTTTTATACTTTCTGGTGGAAGAACACCTATTTACTAGAAAATGTTAAATCTATTAGTTGATGTAAAATATCGTATGTTTCCACCACTGTATAATAATAGTAACATTAATAACTGAGTAGAGTGGATGAGATATGTCACACACCACAGGAATTAATTACTATTTTGTTATAAAATTATTTCATAGGTATTAATAATGTGAATTCAGTTGAGCTCTGAGGAGTATAGCTACTCTGTCTCATCCAAAGGGTGCTAAAACCCTCTTTATTGTCATTTTCAAACATATATAAAGGCAATCGAATCCAAACAAGCAAAAAAGAGGCATGGTTATAATGTGAGAGGCTCTAATGTTAAAGTTTGGGCAGGGGGACACTTGCCATATATCACAGATGCTTTCTCCTCCGCTGAACTGTTTAACAAAACGAAACTCAGTTGAACTGAAGCTAAAGACAACTACAACCATCTTTCCCAGTTCTTTTGACTAAATCAAGGAATAGTTGTAAGTGCTTCCCTGTTCCTGTCCTAGCCATTTCTCCAAACCTGTACTCAGGCTCCTTCTGTGATCAATACAGAAGATAGTCCATTTGAGGAGGAAAGTCCTCATTTGTAACCAATTGTCTTTCACCCTGACTGACTTTTACTAGATTGCATCTTATTTGCTATTCAAAGAGTAAAGAGCATGAGCCATTTGCATTTGGAAAATGGCACTTGTGTAAAAGGTGACACAGCCATGGTTTTACACACTTTCCTCCAGTACGTAAAAACTATCTCCATGCCCCCATCTCTCTGTTTGATTTATAACTTGTAATTAGCATATTTTAAGCTCCCAAGCATCAGTTTTTCAGCTGAAGATGACAAATGGCTCAGTTTTAGACACTCAACTTAGGAGACAGGATTCTCAAGCCACACACAAAAAAATCTAATGAGGACTTTACATAACTTTTAGTATAAATGCTGAGAAATTCATTTAAAGGTAAAATCTTATTTTCCAAGCTATTTAAGAAAAGTGAATTAGGGGTTAATGTTTTATGAAGTTCTCTGCTTTGTGCAGGTAATTATTTCTCTCTTTAAAAAATCTAGCAATTTGATTGTATTATGCAATGTAAGATCTGCAGGTACAAATTATACACATGCATGTTAATGAGCAGGTTTTGTGCACACTCAAAAGTGAGGCATTTTAAATGTCAGTCCCAAGAAACCTACAGAAATATTCTATATAGAGAGAGCATATTTGCATGAAATTGTCATGTTTTTAAGCATATACTTTTGTTCCCCACTAATAACATTTTAGTTGAAATCAAATACCACACATATACAGCAAAACACTACAGCATGTAAAAACCTTACATAGCACAACACAGTACAATACAAGAAATGGTACTGAATATATTTGTTACATTCTGAATCAACCCAATAGACTATCTTGTAAACAAAATCAAAAACAGATGAATAATTTATCCACTAAGAATGTATACAGTAAGCCAAAAGCTCACTCTGGAAATTCACTTAGCATGGTTATTAGAAAATGACAAAGAGTAATGTAACAAGTTACCAAATTTTATGGTCATGTTCTGCTTGATAATTCAAATAAGACGGATGGTAGTTATTAGTTTTCTATTCATGTTCTGTTTAACATCTCCATTGATTTTTAATGCTTTATTTTTTATTTGAATTTGCTGGCTGGCAGGTTTGCTTTGCTTAATATATTGACTGTACCACGCTTATTGTAGTGTTGGTAGAAGAAGAAATACAAGAATATATATACAAAGGCCATATGGAGGTTTCCATGGAAAGATTCTGATACTCCATAACTCTGCTGTTCAGTATTTCAGCTGAAATGGAAAAAAAAAAGAAAGAAAAAGAGAGTGAGAAATATTGAAGGGTTACTGAACGAATAATCAATAGAGTGCAGGTCTTGTTCCAGTTGTGTCTGTTAAACAGTGCCAAAATATCCCCACTCTAAATTTCACATTGAAATGGGACTACTGAGAATAATCATGAAAGAGCCATGTATATATGATAGTCTATGGTACAATGATAGTCTATGGTACCCTTTGAGTGCTAATGTGGAGAACTGCCCTAAGCTAACAGAGACGTACTCCAACATTTAAGGCATTATCTATCTACTCAGTGCCAAAACTTTTCATTGAATGTCCACCCATGTGTCCACCTCTTTCAACTGGCATGTACTGAGAAAACATGTTTGCTACCAAACATTTTGAAATATGCAAATATTAAACACACTTCCAACTTTTTCTCTGAATGTTTTAGAGCCATGCAGAAATAGCCTAATTGTGAAATCTGGGCATTGTATTGTACAAAATTACATTTTTAAACTTTAGAGACATTTTCAGACATTTTCAATTACATATTGAAGTGATTATGTTCTACCAAATACCTCTATATTTGCTAACAAAATCAAGCAAAAAGGAATCGCTCTTCCCAAACATGCTCTGTTGGAAAGTTAATTTGACAACTTTTGTTTACCTTGATGTAAAGCAACACATGAAAGTTGGGCAAGTGTTGGCAAAACCTACATTCTCATGTTTAGTGCTATTCCCAAGCTGCCACTATCCCAAATGACACCCCTGGAAATGATTACAATTTATAGCTCCTTCATTTATCCTATGTACTCAAAGGTACCTTTTAAAATCCTTCCTTATGATCGAGGGGACCTATTTATTTAATGTCCAGTCAGCTATCAGCTTTGTCCAGAACACTTCGTGTTCTGAGCTCATGTGTCCTCAACAGGAAAGATGGGCTAGCTAGGATCTGGGGAATTAGTTCACTAGGTAACAGAACTGCTGCCTCCTTCAACCAAATGACACACTCCAGGTGTGAGAACTTCAAACTTTCGATGACGAAGATATGCAATTCAGAATTGGTACACTATTTTAGTAAGTCCCTAGAATTAATTAAAATACCCAGGAGTCTTCAGTGGCTTCAGAAGTCACATGTTCTAAGTGAATGGTTGCTCAAATGAAGTGTGTGCCACAATGAGCACCAGGCAATGAGGAGATCGAGGGTAAAGGAGGAAAAAAAATCCAACAACAACCACCAAAATTTTTAAAAAGAGACATGATTGGAATGAAAATAATGACTCAATTACTAAATTATGTCACTCAAAATTCAAAACAATGTCACATGAGAAGCATAGTCCTTACTGTGTTTAAGATAATCATCTCAGTGAAACCCTGAAATTTGATTTTCAAAAAAAAAAATGAAGCTATAAAATGGTTAAAGAATTACAACTCAAAAGTAATCTCTGCCTATGGCTAACAAATCATATTCCTTTAATAACAGGAAAACATTCAAGAATGTGTAAGCTCATTGGGAAAAGACAGTACCAGCTGTCATTGCCATATAAAAAATATTGCATATTTGCTCTCACATTTCAATTTGGAAAACTTATAGTGTGTAAATTAAACTCTAAGTCACAAGCAATGTCTATTAATGAAAATATTTGCTAAACCCTTTTAGTAAGTGCAATTGTGCAAATAAAAAAGGTAACCTATAAATGTTATTTATATTAATACTTAAAGAAACTTACTGTTCTACTGGGAACGTCTACATCTGTGAAACAAACATGCTGCTATTCAGTTCATCTACTGATAATTGGGGCATCTATAGTAGTAAAAAAGATTTTAGATTAAAATAGTTTCTTAAGATAATTCTGTTTTTGTTGTTACATATGTGGAACTGTTAGTCTGTAAGTATGGTTACCACTTTAATAAGGCAAAATGGCCCTAATATTATACAATACTTATTCTATGTATCTCCTTATAATTTCAATACTCCCCCCAGACTTATAATTTGCCTTGTAAACTCTGCCTAGAAATATCTAAAGCAAATAAAAATCAAAGAAACAAGCACATCTAATGTCCATATGAGAAGGAACTTCTAATGCAATCACTGGGAAATGATAAGGATATCTGTGTCTTGGAAAGAAATGTGGTATTTTGTTTTCTTTCCAGTGGATCTGAAGGGAAAGGTGATGACTGTACCAAGCCAAAGTTTAAACACAATAATCAAAAATGGCAGTAAAATAAATTCTTCTCTTGACCAATGAGGAAGCATTTAAGAAATATTAAGTATATACACTTGAGGATTGGTCTGCTACCAACAATTAGATATAGAATATGAAGAGCGACATCTGGTAACCAATTAGAAATGAGCAAAACTCCACTGATTCATCTTGGGATGAATAGCAAAGCACATACAGCACTCTAGAATATACACACAAATAAAAACTCTAAATGTGACAATGGCTTAAGAAACACACAAGAATCTCACCAATCCAAAAAGCATATACCGTGCATTACCAAAACATTGTAGTTATCTCGATCTGAACAGCTGAAATAAATGGCCAAACCTGATTGCCTGTAGTTGTTGCAGCGAAGGGAACGTTGGTGGCAGGTGTTGTTGCTGCAGACACAGTGGTAGGTGTAGCACCGTGCATCATGGGCACTTTCAGTTGAAAACCATAGAAGCAACACACAGGAGCGTGGAGGATTTATGCAACCATGATATTTATGATGGAATGAGGTGTGGTAGGTATCACAGCAACAAGCAATGTGACATCATAATGACGAATACATCAGGGTGTTCATGCAATCACAGTCAGTGCAAAGCAACACAGCATGGAAGGGGGAAAATTAAAAAGAGAAAAGGGGAAAGCCAATTATAGTTACCAATATGGAATATGGAACCATTCTAAACAATTAGTAAGTTTTCGAGCAGAATCCCATTGTAGTTTACTCAAAAGCCTAAATTTTTAGAAGGAGCTATAATGAATGCATATGAAAACAAAAATCCGATGTTACAGGGGCTATCTATCTATCTGAAGCTAAACAGACAAGTAACTGGATTGCACATTCAAAATGGAATTAGGGAATCGTAAATTGGAATTTACGCTCACTTACGGACATGAATGCTGTCACTAGATTTGCAAGTGCAAATGGACAGTTATATGTATACTTACCTGATCTGCATGCAAAGACATGATAGGTTGACTGGTTGGTATGTGGTAGGGGGGCAGATATGAATAATACAGTAAACGATGCATGCGGGGTTTTAAGTACTTCTCTGGCAAACTCCTAGGAAACTTTGGCCATTTATCAAATACATGGAGTACTTCATAGTAAATCTTGTCCTCACAGCAACTATTATAGCTACAATGGTTAGTAGCTATGAAATCTCTTGCAGGATGTTTTCTCTTTGTCGTTTCTAGTTCCTACCTCATTTAGAAAGTGTTCGGGTTGCTTTCTGATGTCTAGCTCATTTCAGAAAGCAAACTGGGGAATTAATGTGTGAATGGCAAGCACACATATGTAATAATTTATCATGTCTACAAAGATTAAATTCAGATTTTCTGAAAGTCTACAGAGAAAATGAATGGCCAGAGAGAGACTGAAAGAGAGAGAGAGAGAGAGAGAGAGAGAGAGAGAGAGAGAGAGAGATTGACATTTGCAATGCCACAGAAACTGAGAATATACCCCAAATGGTGATTAACAGAAACTCCATAGTTATCCCTTCTCCTCAGCTCTAGTTACCCATTGCCCAGAGCCATCCCTGTTGTCTCACATGCCAATTCTACAAACACTCTTGTTTTCCCTTTGGGAGTGCAGCAATTGTACAGGAAGCAGACTCACTGAAGAATGCAGTTTGCATTCCTAAGCAGAGCTCTGAAAGTGAATGGACAAGGGAACATCTCCAAGAAAGCTCACAAAATATGAAGGCAAAGACACATTTCTTAAACTTGCAGAAGTCTAATTGTATACATTACGATTACAATGTATACATATTGTGCTCCTGTTGGTATTAATAGAAATGTTTACTATTCCTACAGAAGACAGTCAACCCCTCAGTAACAGGGGCCTCACCTCCATTGCCAGGGTTCAGACCTCACTATGTTAGTGAGTGCTGCTACTATGTGGTTGTCATTTTGACCTTTATTCTCAAGAAGCCTCTTAGTGGTGCCTTTGAGGCTCTGTATCTACTCTGGTCCACCAAGGTGCCAAAGGTCAATTTGTTGCAAACTCTCAAAAGGGTGGGGATGGCCTGGATTGATATGAGATGATAGAATGGGACAGGGTGGGATCATCTCTCCTTGCATAAAACAGCGCTATTTTCTCCTGTTCCTGGTGCCCATGAGGACTGTAGGAGCTGTGAACTCCCCATTCCTTTCTCATGCTCTTCAGTATTGGGTGCTGAATAAAATGGCTTAAAGATGGCTACCATATTGTGTTAGTGACTAACAAGAGGATCTGTGTGCAACTGCTTGTTAAAAAATCACAGAACACCCAGAGTCATTTCAAAATGATTCTGTTGTGCCTAGCTTCTGTGCCAATGGCGCTTCAGGCTAGGACACTGCAGAATTCATTACAGAACACTGCAGAATGCTCTGACTGTGCTGAACTCATCCTCTTGCAACATGGGAACACTGAATGCTTTAAGTCCTATAGATAACTTTTTCAGAGAGGAATTGTTTCATTGTACTTTACGAGTTAGATATTTTAAGTATTTTACAATTTTTAAATAATACATGTTAAGCAAAGAACAAAACTGCCCACTCTGGCTAGTTTCAAATATTGAAAAAGGAACCTTTTAAAATATTTCAGTTGCTATTTTTAGGGTAGAAATAGAGAAATGACAGGGCCAGAATTTGGTCACAGTGGCAACCAACTAGAACTTGAGAAAGCAGGGCTATTTTGATGCTACAAAGACATAAAACAGAAAGCACCATGTTAAGCCTTAACATACTCAGAAAATTTCCAGCCACATCTTTCAGTCATTCATCTTTCATAGTCACAACAGAAAAACACATTTTTCAGATTAGAAAATGTTGAGAATTTTTGTAGAAAAACCTACCAATACTTGAAGCGGGTGCCATGCACAGTATTGGCCCTGTACACCACGCAGAAAAGCATGGAAAGTAAAGAAAAGAGATATTTGATTATTAAGGATTTATTGATAGAAATACATTTATTTTAACTAGAAAGATTATTTCTTTGCAATATCAATTACTCAGCACAAGCAAGTCCAACAATTTCCCATGTTTACAATTACAGATTAGCTTTAAGATCAGAAACCCAGGTAATCAAAATAATTCTTGGATTCTTAGGTACAAAATGAGCTATAATTTTTCTGTAAAAGAATCAGCTCACTTAAATTACATATTTATTGTGGACAAATGCATCCTAAATAATTTTTGTCATAAGAAAGATAATTTAAATTTATTATATGTACCATTTTTTAAATACACTCCAGAATCTTGTATCTGGTGTCTGTATTTCTGTTTAGAGTATTAATCTGTTAACACTGTCTCCTCCACTGTCTCATAGTCAGTAGGACTTAACTATGAATATATGGCAAACAGGCTTTCCCGTAAGAGAGACCTCTTAGCTGGACAGGCTTTTATGTTGCTACTAATTAAGGGGAAGGAAATTTTTCTAACATTTTTGCTTATGAAACTAGATTTTATGTTGGCCAAGTCTGGCAAAAAATTCAAACTTGGAACCAAAGTAACTGTAGTATTAAGAAAACCTATAATGAACATATATTTTATTATATTCAACCACCTTGACTATTGAATTCATTCCATAGCTATAATACAAATTGGAAGTAGCCAAGGTAGAGTGATCTAATGTGTAGGTAAGTTATCATAATTTTTGAAGAAAAAAAATGCCAGGAATAAAGTCATATCAACTCATACTGGTTTTATCTTTTACTGAATGGACATTATGTGGTTTTTTTCTTAGGTTGGGAGAACATGTCTAAATTGCTAGATATCAGCAGCTACTTATTATAATGGATGTAAGAAAGTGCTGAAGAATTCCATATTTCCTTTCAGAAACTATTATGTAAATGTATAAAAATTGTATAATTTAAATGATGGCATGAAGGATTACTGTGGTTACTAATTAAAGACGTGTTTTATGTTACCATTAAAAATTAATTAGCTGATTTATTTACTAATTAGCCAATAAGCTTTCTCAAGTCCCAGTATTAACAAGTATTTCTAAATTATTTTTTTGAATCTATGTTATTTTCATTTAAAAATAGTTTCCAAACTGGGGCATTTAGCATTCCGGCAAAAAACCAATCAAACAAAAAACCAAAAAACCAAACCTACTGTACTCCCAGTGGTTAGAATTTTCAACTTATTCCTAAGAGACTATATGCTCATTCTTAAACTACTAAACCACTGGAAGTAAATTATTTCCCCCGATATATAATATCTACTTGAACAAATTTCTGGCTTAACATTTTCTATTCAATTTGGTGCAAAACAGGCTTTTAAATATAGCTGAATGTAGGGGATAACAAAATATGCTGCAAAATGCCAGAAAATATAAATTGCTATGTATTTTATATTAACTGATTCAAGAGTTACACGCTAAAGCTATCTTTTTAATGTAAACTATACTATACTGTGCATTTAAGGGTAATTTTATTTTAACTACCTTTGGCATATCAAAAATATACAGACAATGCATTTCCACAATATTGAAGCTGGGAATTTTTTCTTCTTTTCTTTCTTTTTTTTTTTTNTTTTTTGACAGCACTTTACTGTCTGTGAAAATGATACCTAAGAGTCAGGGAATTAGTTTGAGACTAAACCAAGTGAATTAACCATAAGCAAAAACCAAGAAATACTAAACAGAAAAATGTTGATACCTTTTCCTAGTTTGATTTCAAACCGTGAATTTTCTTGAATTATAAAAAAAACAAGTAGTTCTAGATAACAGCAGACAAGTATAACTTCCTTGTTTTATTTTTAATCAAAATACATATCGACAGTCCCCCTACAAAAGCTCTTTGAAAGCTGCTTTGCATTGTATACATTCACAACATCACCAAGCTTGCTGCAGTGCCCAGAGCTGTGTTCTCACCTGCAGGGATATACGCCGGCTGGGGGAGCGGCAGGTTAGTCAGAGCCTGTTGGCAGTGAAAAACACCGGGATTGAAGACCGGGGTGGCACCATTCGGCTTTTCCAGTGCTGATCTCTTTGGTATCAGCTGCAGTGTACCAGGCTGCAGGGCCTGTAGGGCGAGAGATGGTACTAGTACTAGAGAAAGTAACAAATGTACTCAAACCAAGCAAGCACCATTTATATAAGGTATGTCCTGGAAATCCTCCATAACGGTATCTATTGGGCAAGACACTGGATAAGCAGTGGCCCAACAGCAAGGTAACCAACTGCAGAGATAAGGGGGTTCACAGCCATGTGCAGTGGCTCATGCCTGTAATCCCAACACTTTGTGAGGCTGAAACCAGCAGATTGTTTGAGCTCAGGAGTTTGAGACCAGCCTGGGCAACATGGCAAAACCCCATCTCTACAAAAAAAATAGAAAAATTAGCCAGGCATGGTGGTGCATTCCTGTGGTCCCAGCTACTTGGGAGGCTGAGGGAGGACTGCTTAAGCCCAGGAGGTCAGGGCTGCAGTGAGCTGAGACCACACCACTGCACTCCAGCCTGAGTAACAGAGTGAGAGCCTATCTTAAGGGAAAAACATAAAAGGCAGTCCACTAGATGAGCAGTAATCCAAAACAGAAAAAAATGCAAAAAAAAAAAAAAAGGTTTTCAACTTCACTAATTTAGACCTCATTTGAGCAGGATGTGACAGAAATCTATTACAGCAAACAATCATTTAAAACTAATATCTCAGGGATACTCATCTATGAATCTATAAAAGTGAGATTAGCAAAAACAACTGATATAGCAGGAAAGACATTTCTACCAGATAAAACTCCAATACAGATCTAGGACATAAATGGCACATAAGTGATAAAACAGATGTTGGTAGATGACAGTCTGACACTGTCATCCCATAAAATAAAATCCAATTTATACAAAGACTTCCAGTTCAAATCCTAAAACTGTATATTTCCTCACATGTAAGGAAGAAGCAAATGAATATTTCCTCCCCCACCACCTACCTCATCCAGATACTATATAGATAGTTAGCAAAATATATGCAGTTCTTATTCATAGAGGCTTGCTGTGCATTTCAGCATGTACCATTTGCTTTGTTAAGTTCTTGTAAGGTTTAATTCTATAAGCTGTTAGCATTTTTAAAGTATCCTTTCATGTCTACAGTTTTTTCAAAATCCCACTGTGCTTATAATACTCAGTCAAACTTGCCCCTGGATCATATTCTTTGGAGAAGTTTAACACTACTTTACTTTTTTTTTTCTCTCTCAGTAAATTGCACGTTACTTAATAAACATGTCCCAGCAACAACAATTAGGTATGTTCCAAATTTTTAAGGAAACAGGAATACTTGTGTTCAGTAACCATCCTGCCACGTGTCCAAAGGGTAATACCATGACCTCGTTCCTGTGAATAACAAAGGTCTCAACGTATCTCTATTTTCTTTTGGGAACTCTAGGTTAATGCACACATTGTAACAGGTCTGCTTTTTATTTCACCTAAATAAAGAGAAGCATGCCAGAAGAGTAAGATAAAATAAGTTGAGGAATTTTCGAGATATAAAATTTCCAAATTTATCCCAGCGGGCCAGATGACAAAGGTCAAGACTAAAATCACAAACCATAAAACAAAATCTATCATTTCAAATGCTTTTTATCACCATTGGGAGAAAATGGTTTTGCTGAACATTTTAACTGACTAAGGCAGAAGGCTTACTTAATGGATTGTTAAAAAGATTTCCCTTTGGTATAAATGGGGAGTATCCCTTTCTCTTGAAAGTTGACAGCATGCTATGATCATCAGAACCACAGTTATATTGCCTAGCAAACTACAAATTGGGGCGAAACCTAGATGAACATTTGACAGGTAGATGCTGGTAAGGTAGTACGGCTTGTTTATGGCTGAGGTTTATCCTGATGGGTCAGTGCCCAGTTCCGATTGGGTGGTACTTGTACTATTAAACTCATAAACCTGTCAAAGAGGTGAGAGACTGTGGATGAACTAAATATCAACCCTTCATGTCTTTTTTTGTTTATTTTTTAATACAAACTGCTTTTTGTGAACTCAACCTGAGCTATATATATGAACAAGGTAAAAATCTCTTCTACAAAGCATGTCCCCTATGAGTCCTTAAAAAATACAAAAACCTTGAATTTCTTCGTGAATCCCTCCTTTATTTAATCTTACCTCTATCAAATTCCTGTGGGCCAACTTGATCTCACTGCTAAGATCCTGCTGTGATCAGTTACTTAAAAGGGAATTTTATATTGATATTCACAAATAACAACTGAAGACCTATGATGTAATATTTAGCTCTCTACATGGAAATTTGGGGCTGACTTGTAACCTTTGCATTCTATCAAACGCACTCAAATAATCAGAAATGGACAGCTGCATACAAAGCCATTTTCATAGCTGAAAATTCTCCCATTCAAAAGCATTTAAGACAAAAAGCATTGGGTAAAGTCTTTTTTAACATTCATTAACAGACTACATTGTTCCGATCAAGGGAGAAAATAAGTTTGTTCCAATTTGGTGCTCAGATCCTTCACGATGTAATGAGTTCAGTTCTGAAAAAAAAATGCGGAGCCAGTCCGAAAATGGTACTGTGTCCTTGAAACCATAATCTACGACGAAAAGTAGGAGAAATTTGCAGTATTTGGCTTAGAGAGGAAACATGACAGTCACTCTCACTTGGAACAGAGATTGACTTCTTTTGTGAAGTTCCAGTTGCAGCAAGATAAATTTCAACTCAGTATGAGGAAAACCTTCTTATGAGGGATGTTTGAAAATAAGTGTCTCTCTGTTGTGAATAGGCAAAGTCTGCCATGGGAGTCTGAACTATGAATGTTTGCGAGGAGATTTAGCTCACAGTGCATCTACTAGGCTTCAGGGTCATTTCAGTGCTTTTTCTACACCCAGGGAACATGAGGTTTCCTGTGGGTTTTGTCCTTTATTGGGGCTGTTATGCCTTATTACACAAGGAAAGGTCCAGGTAGAAAAAGAAAGATATAGCAAGCAGCACATTAAAACAATGGACAGCTGTGGCAAACTTCAGTCACGAGAATTGCTCGTTTTAAGCGATCACACTGCAGTGTTACACAAGTATTTCTCCTGCTTCCTACCTTTCAGTGTTACTAAACAGCACTAACTGTTCCCCCAAAATTGGCTTTCTACTGCAACTTAAAAGTTAGGCCTCTGGGCCGGGTGTAGTGGCTCATGCCTGTAATCCCAGCACTTTGGGAGGCTGAGGCAGGTGGATCACCTGAGGTCAGGAGTTCAAGGCCAGCCTGGCCAACATGGTGAAACCCCGTCTCTACAAAAACATGCAAAAATTCACCAGAAGCAGCGGCACGCGCCTGTAGTCCCAGCTACTCAGGAGGCTAAGGCTGGAGAATTGCTTGAACCTGGGAGACGGAGGTGGCAGTGAGCTGAGATCATGCCACTACACTCCAGCCTAGGTGACAGAGCAAGAGTCCGTCTCAAAACAAAAAAACCAACCAACCAACCAATGAACCAACCAACCAAACAGACAAAAAAGTCAGCCTCTGCTTCCAACCACATAAAAATTTCCCTCTAGACTAAGCAGGCTGCTCTCCTTGATACTATGCTTCCAGAGAGGAAGGTGGCCTTAACCTTTAGGAAATTGGAACCTACTTAATATCCTATGTTTTAAGTGCGTTGTTTTAAAAGGGAGAGATAGCAAGGGGAGAAATGCCAGATGTAGGTGATGGGGAGGAAGGCAGCAAATCACACTGCCACGTGTGTACCTATGCAACAATTTTGCATGTTCTTCACATGTACCCCAAAACCTAAAATGCAATAAAATAAATAAATGGAAAAAAAAAGAAATAATACATAATTATAAAACCTGAATATGTTAACTTAAAAAAAAAAAAAGGCATTAAGGATGTTAGTAGCAAAGTGCCCATGAAAGTGGCTCACAGAGCAGAGGCAACTTTCTGCCTCTCTAGGATATTGAGGGTAGTGAAACTATAAAAGCACTCAAAAATAGCTGACTGTTTAAATCATATAATTTATCCTTTCTCTGAAAATGGGAAAAAGAGCACAGTAGGTTAAAGGCATTAGTAAAGCTTTTAAATAATTATCTTTAGAAAATCTTAGTACATAATGTAGAATAAATAGGTTTGTTCTTTTCCAGCTTATAACCTTGACTGTTCATATTAAGGTCCACTCATGACCATCCATTATTATGGTTACAGGATATTAGACAAATTGAGGAATATACAAATCATTTACTCTGAAACAGGCCACAAGTGCAGGTCTTTTCTTACCATGGCAGCTGAATGGTTCATCTGGTGATGAGCTGCCTTGAGTTTGGCTTGCAAGTGTGCAGGAGGATGAAAGTACTTGCATTTCTCCCGGGAGCATCGACCTTTGATGTAATCCATGCAGATTGTCACAGTATTATCACCCACTTCAATCATGGAAGCATCAGTAGGGTGAGCATAGCGGCAATCGTTCTCCCCACGGGTACAATTTCCACGCTGAAATTCTCGGCAAACCTTAGAACACACACACGCATATACACACATATCATATTGATGACTGGAAGCTCACTGGCTTTTATTTATTTTGCCAGTGAATGTAAGAGTAATTATACATACATTGGATATATTATTTAAGAACAAATCTAAAAAGATAAAGAATAATGTAAAGACATATTCACTATGAGATGTGAACAGACAGAATTTCTATTCCCAGAAAAAATTGCTATTCTCTCCAAAGGAAGGTTGTCCTTACATTGAAATAAAGATGTTTAAAAGTATTACTGAAAACCAGTTTTAATCCTCCAGTTAATACACAGTCTTAAAAGTAATTAGTTGTTTTTAAAGTCCAAGATGAGTCTTTATCACACAGCAGTGCATTGGTGGTTTTCCATAGCCAACTTGTGAGCTATAACTGAGTTATATGTACAATCAAATTCTATTACAATACATCACCAGGCATTTAAGGGGCTGCAAATGGAGCTGACTTTGTAAAGAAAAGACTAGTTATTGCAATGTACAAAGAATAACAAGAGAAGAATGAAGGACTTCAATAAATCAAAAAGCTGTTTGAAATTTCTTTTAGATTTTCTTTTCTTAGGCATCTGGGGTATTTATTACCTAGCACATCAGTCTTAAAATGGAGAAAGAAGTTTAGGCACTATGAGACTTATATACCTTCTGTATTCATATAGCTTTACATTCTGCAATCATACAGTTATATTGTCTACTTTTTTCCCACTTTGATTATTCTAGCAAGTAGGGACTCATTAACAAATACAGTAATCTGTTTCTGAAAGCTGGAGCCTGGGTAACAGGAACATTCCCACAGAGGCTTCCTGTGCCATCTCACAGTCTCTGGCTGGGTACACTTAAAATATTGTTTGATCTGCGATACAGCTGAATCAATGCATGTTATATCAAGGTATGATTGCAGTAGTAAAATTATTTAACATTTTTCTGAGGTTATACCCCATAAGCTAAAAAAATTGGGTACTCTTATTTAAAACACACAACACATGGGGCTCTGAGAATGTTCCTTTATGCATAAGGTTAATATCTATTCTACAGGTATTTATAGATATCTTCACAAATACCTCCAGTTTATCTGAACGCATCAGTTTTGGGCCAATGGCTCCTGTCAATGCGAGAGGTGGGTTTCCAGGAATCAGAACAGGTGTATTTGGTACAAGTTCCGCGGGAACCAGGCCCATCCCAGGATGTGGTATGTAGGGATTGAAAGCCATGGGAGGATTTGGAAGTGACGGAGCCATAGGAAAAGAACCCTGTATGGTTAAAAGAGAAAAAAAGATGTTAGAGGTAAACAGATTCTTCCTATCATTACACATGGAGGCATTCTTTCAGAAACATCAAAATTACTTACGCCACATCAAAATCTACCATTGTTTCTTCTGATTTATTTTTAGTCTTATACTAATTGCCATATAGGAGTTGCTTTTAAGCCAACAGATCTCTTTAATAACTTTATTGTAAGCTGATAAAATAAGCCACATGATTTTAAGAGTCATGAATTAGCCAAATTAAATCTCATCGCTAGAGTCTGTTCCAAACATGTTTCCTTCAACTCTTTCTTTTTTCCCTAAAAGCCATGTCAACAATGACATTACATATATGGACTGTCTTCCTTGTTTCCTTACACAGGCATGGCCTTTGCGTTCAGTCCCTTTCCTTCCTCCTTCCTCTCCCCCATCAATACTGCTTGGCTGTAAGGCAGTGTGTCCTACCACAGGCCCCATCTGTACGACCAAACACTGGCTGTGCTTCTCTCTTCTTGGTCCGCTGAGAATTATGGAACACAGGAAGGAGTTCAGGAAGAAAGGGGTAAATTAGAAAAAGTGAGTCCTTTAATATCTACCTACAACGAGTTTAGTACAGTCCATTACATTTTGTTATTTTTTTAAATTAGAGGTCCTATTTTTGTTTAATTTTTAAGTTTTATGTGTACATAGTAGGCATCTATATTTATGGAGTATATCAGATATTTTGATACATGCAAACAATGTGTGATAATCACATCAGGGTAAATGGTGTATCTATTTCCTCAAGCATTTATCATTCCTTTGTGTTACAAACACTCTAATTATAGTTTTTTAGTTATTTTTAAGTGTACCAGAAATTATTGTTTACTGTAGTCATCCTAGAGGTCCTGTTTCACAAGCTAATCTGACTTGCATAGCCTTGTCTTTATCTAGGGGGCCAGATGATACTCATAGTTCAAAAGAAGGCACTAGAAATGCTACAGGAATCCCTGTTAGGCAGAAAGAGATAAGATAACAGGATTATATGGTATACAAACTAGAATGTAACTCGTAAAAAAAACAAAGCCTCCAAAATACAAAAAGCTATTACTGCTTTTTCTATTTTCAAAGATACTGGACCAAAAAGTTTAATATGTGTATTTCCTTTATTATTTGTGGCCATATTATTTATCACTTTGCTGTTTTCCAGTTTGTTCCACATGTGGGTATCTTTTCTTATCAATGTGGTTTTATTGCTTTGATAGTTCTCATCTCCCCTATAGCGCCCAACACTTAGTGAATGATTGGTTGACAGATATACTCAATGATACATTTTAAAAGTTTAATGAATACTAAATCATGACTAAATGTCGTATATTTCTAATAATGACTCTATAGTTATTGTGAAACTGGTGGTGTCTCACTGTGTATTACTAATCACATGTGTTTTTTCTTGCGTTTTACAATTTTTTCCAGTGAAAAAAAACCCCTGAATTTGTAGCATTTACCAAACTGTGCCCATATCTGCTAAGTTACATTAATAGAAACAACTCTAAATACAGATTGTGGAATATAAATTGAGGGGCAATGTATATTCATTGCCCCATCCCCACACAGATTTGAAATTGTTACCCACATAGCATTCCAAGAAGAGTCTGTTATAAACCATATTCAGCTTAGAAGGAAGCACTCCCCTATTAGTGTTCTACCTCAGGTGAGTTTATCAAATTAGCCGATTTCGACATCAGGAAGGGCAGGAAGGATCTGGCACCAAAAAACTGGCAAGACTCACGGGGGTAAGTAAAAAAGGCATGGTTGCCAAGACGTTTAAGTAGAAAGGGAATGCCAGGTGCCAGGAAAGATGATGGAGTAGTCAGGAGAGGGACTCTAAAGTTTGGGGGCAAATAGCCAAGGGCTGACCCAGTCTAACTAGGTCTTATGATGTAAAAGACTACAGGAATATGGGATACTTGTCATGGAATGAGATGTTAAGCTCAGGAACTAGCTGATGTGACATTATTTTATATGAAGAGAAGGAAATTTTCCGGAAACAGCCACCCAGGCAGGCTTCAGCAATAAAGCAGACTTTATAAATGTAATGATTCATAGTCATCTCAAGATCAGCAAGAATCTCTGGTGAGAAAAACTCCATTTTTGAAGCACACAATAGTGCACTTCACTTGAGTTTTTGTTGTCTCCGACTTTCCTGGTAAATTTCTCACTGAAGTCACTATCCCATTCTCCTGCATACGTTTTGCTTTTGCCTTTTACAAAATTCAGCAGGACCATTATTGCATCTACTAATTTTTGAACTGAAAGATCTGGAGGTGGGAGAATTTTCCAGATTAAAAAGTTATTAATCACTAATAAATGCTGATCAATTAACAATATTGAAGTCTAATATATGTCTAAGCAATGCTTTCTGTTTATGGTAGCTTTTTACTTCTGTAATTTTTTTCTTTTCTTTTTTGGGGTGACTCACCAGGGAAATTCTCCTAGCTAAATTCTGCTTTTTTGGGGGAATACTTTTAAACTTTCTTAGATTTGTTATTTGTTCCACATGTGTGGAAAATGCTATAAATTAATGGTTCGTCTATATATAAAATGTAAAGGGATTGCTGAAAGCATTTAGGTTTTTCAAAGGTTTTACCACAAACTATACTATGCTATCTTTAGATCTTAAAATTAGTGTCCTAGCTCTTCTAACTATTTCCTCCTTGAGTATGAAATACATTCTATAACACTGTTTACTGAGAAGAAGCAAGCTATTCCATTCTCAATCCTGGGGCAGAGGCAGGAACTCCTGAGTGGCTTATTTATTTTCAGTTGGACATTTCTGTTTTCTCACCACCACCTCTGCCCCAGGGTAACTACTCCATTTCATGAATTTGAACATTCAAGGGCTTAGCATTGACTAACAGCCACGGGTTAAATCAAGCAGCTTGCAAGCTCACAAGCTCAGCTTTAATAAGCAACTTTAATCCTGTCTCTACATATATCTCAGCCCTTGATGTCAGTTGAGCTAACATGAACCTATCTGTGGGTTAATTTTTATTGTACAGGAAAAGGTTTTAAATACATTGACTCTGATTTATCTTTATAGCCTGAAATGGTCTGAACACTTAAGTGTTTCAGATATTTAAATTCCAACCTAAATCATTTACTAAATACTTGAAAATAAGAGAAGGTTGTCCCTCCCATAACCAGGTATAAATTTTCATCTTTCTGAGTCTTGTCAACCAGCAAGAATGGTGACAACAGGCTTTATGAACAAGACTACCTAACAACTATTTAACCCCATGTCTCTAGCAGTATCAGTTCCTGCAGTAGAAATTCCCATGTGTTTCCAGTGACTTGCAGAGCACTTAGGAACTATCAGGCACTCAGTAAATGTGTCCTAAGAATTAATGAAATGTCTAGAGAACAGTGGCTCCTAATCTTTTTTGAGTCCATGACTTCTTCAAGAGTCAGATGAAGGCTGCAGACTCTGTCCACAGAAAAATTCATGTATGCAAAAAACGTTGCTTGTGATCCCAACAAGATCAAGGACCCCATGACACTCACCCCTGGTGTCGGGTTATGAACTATTTAGTGGTTAAGAATCTCTGTTCTAGAGTAAGGCTCTGCAAAGTAGGGCCAGTAAACCAAATTCAGCCAGCAACCTAAGAATGTTTTTTACAGTTTTAAATGATTGAAAAAAAAAAAAAGGAGAATAATATTTGATGAAACATGAAAATTATAGGAAATTCTTAATCCAGTGTCCATCTACAAATTTCATTGTGCTCATTAGTAGACCTGTATTACAAAAAACTGTAAATATTTCTTTCCTCTCTTGTTATATAAGTATCTATATAATACCCTCAACTTTGCCTCTTGAACCTCACGGCCTAAAATATTTATATCTAGCCATTTATAAGAAAGTTCACCAACCTTGGTTCTAAAGGATTTCAAAACTTAAAATTCTCCATCACTTTCTGGGGTAAAGCACCAATTACATATATAATATATATAAATATATATTATATATACCTATATATCAAGACGTAAATTTAATATTTGTAGCAAGATTCCACAAATTGAAAACATTTGGCTTTGTAAACCAATACTAAGGTATTCACTAAAATGTTCTTTTAAATACTA